CCGGGGCGTGACAGATTTTGTATTTATATTTGTTTAATTTTTTCAAATACGAATTCGAATTTGAAACAAATATTAATTTTAATTTGTATTTAAAACTCTATTGATAGAGTGAGAAATGGAATAACAAATATAAAAAAGAAATAAGAACAAAAGGATAAATAAAGGGAATAAAAAGGTGTCAGGGATAGAAATAAAGAAAATAAAAATTTTAGGGAGAAAAGGGAAAAAATGAAACATGAGACTGTTCTGAGAGATTTGTGAAAGGTGTTATCATTTATATAAGGTTTCCTGGGAAAATGCAGAAACCCTAATATAGTAGGTCATCGATCGGTCAGGGTCCAACAAAAGAATATGAGGTGCAAATGTTGGATTATTTTGAGATTACTTAAAGGTGATTATTATGAAAATATCGATCAAACGTGAGATTATTCTTATCATTTTTTCAAAAAATAAAGATGGGATAAGTATACATTATTATGTTGGAACAGAATCTATATAGTATGAAAAGTGAAAAGTGCGAAATTTTGACTTTTGCCATGTTACACTCCTCTTTTAAGTTCCAAAAAAAAGGATGACACCACATCCCTGAAGGCCCTCATCCCTGACCGGACGATACATTGGGAGGATGTAAATTGGACTATAATCACAATCTGACAGATAGAGAGCGGAGCTCTTTCCCCGGTACTTGCAGAGGCCCTGTGCATTTTAGCATAGTAACCCCTCATCGCAGTTGTCGGGAATCGAACCCGGGACCTAACCCTTGTGGCACTCCCTCGCTACCAGTTGAGCTACGCCCACCGGTTCCTCTTTTAGGTTCCAATACTGCATTTTTCATGACAAAAAAAACATATACGGAGTACGTATTTACGACAATGTCACCGCATTTTTAACCCAATTGATTGCATTTCTGACACTTTTGATGCCATAAGAATATAAGATCTCAAATTCATCACACAAATATCATTCTCATTTTTCACATTAAGAGCCTGTTTAGTGATCCCTAATTTAAATTAACCTCCTCGACCTTATCAGACAACTTCTTTCAAAACACGTTATTTTTAATTCCGCAAGCTAAATTGGGTAATAATCACACTAAATAAATTTGGAGTTACTTTTCTAACTGAATTGATTGGTGTTACTGTAAAGGATCGTTTCAACTGTTTTTTAATAAATATATTAATAAATTAATGTATTTAAAATATAAATTTTCCGTAATTTGGTGGATTTAACTAATTCAGTCAACATTTCATCAATTTTAGAAGATTCCGTCGATTCAATCTCTTCAATTCCAATGTTACCAAACAGACTAAGACCTTTTTTCATTTTATCTAGAATTTATACACACATACACATATATATTATTATAGATTAAAACGCAATATTTATAAAATAATAAAAGTATTGAATTCCAGCTAAAGTGTAAATTGCGTAATTGCCTATAAGCTAATCGAATTAAAAATATGTTGTAACACACGATATATATCATCTATGTTCATCACGTAAAAGGTTTTATACAAAACAAAAAATATATACTAAAATGAAAATATTAAATGGGAAAGGTTATGCACAATCAATTTCCATTAATGATTTTTAGTAACCAAATTAATTCATATAACGTATGATTCATTAATTTGAATAGGGATCGGACTTACATGCAATAAGCAAACAATCAATTTCAATAATTGGATCTAATAGCAATTAATTGATAAATCAATTTCAATTTGAAGGTTCTACTTTATTACTCCCTCCGTCCCGTTGGAATGTTCCTGCTTTCCTTTTTTGGATGTCCCGTTGGAAAGTTCCCATTTCCCTAAATAGAAAGTTATCCTACATCAAAACAGGGTCAAACAGTGCAAAACAGTGTCAAACAATGTCGAAACAGTGCCAAACAGTGTCGAAACAGTGTCAAAACAGTAAAATTTACCTCCTGGTAAGTTTATTTCCTTAATATGTGTGTAGGTCAAACCGGGAACATTCCAACGGGACGGAGGGAGTATTAAGTAAGTAGATAGTTAATGAATCATATATGAATATCGAATCAATTTGATCATAAGTTAAATATTAATCAAATATAACCTTAAAACAACTTTTAAAGTGTAATGGATCGATGCATTTTTAGGTTGTGTACAATATACTAAAGCGAATCAGTTTTATGATTACTATACATAAATATATTTCAAAGTTTTTGAAATAAACACTAACTCACACATATTAAAGATTATACCTATAATGTGTAAACTAAGTTTTTGAAATAAACACTAACAAGTACACTTACTTTTTAAATACAATCAATCAATTCATTTTGACCTTTTTGGTTATTTTTAAGAAAATAAATTAGGACTATTGATAAATTATAAAAATTCGTTTAAATTTGAAAAATAATGTTATAAAAATATAAAAAACAACACAAATGTGAAAATAGATACATAATTTTAAAATGTTAAAATAAAAAAGAATCATAAAACTGAAAAAATAAAGTGAAAATGTAAAAAATATAAAATATAGAATGTAAAAAACTTTTAAATATATATAGAATATACAAGTAATTTTGAATATTCAAAAAAACTTTAGCATTCTGAAAATTTTCATAATTTCATCTATATTTGTTCAAATTTTAACAAATTTTTAGAGTTTTTTTAATATAAAAACTTGTTATTACAGGTTAAAAATTGAATAAATGACCGAATTGATCAATGTTTTAAAGTAAGTGTACTTACTTGATACTTTTTGTAATACTTGAGATTCAATTCAAACGGATTAATAGTACTACTCATATCAACAAGGTGCATCTCCTTTTAAGGGAGCTCATCAGCTAAGAACTGCAAAGTTAAGCGTGCTTACACAGGAGTAGTCTTGGGATGGGTGACCCCCTGGGAAGTTTCTCATGGCGCGCACGAGTGAGGACAAAGTGCGCGGAAAAGGCTAGTGGCGGTTTGTGAGGACAATACTAGAGGTCTAGAGGGAGGTCAGAAGTAACTACCTCGGGGCTTGTACGGGGCCAGAGTGTTACAGGTGGTATCAGAGCAACCCTGCGACAGTGTGCTGACCCGTTGGATATCGGGCACTCACTTAGCGGGGAAAGAGTCTGGGATTTGATTGAGATTGGTTTATGGGCGCAACGAGGACGTTGCGTTCCTAAGTGGGGTGATTGTAATACTTGAGATTTAATTCAAACGGATTAATAGTACTATTCATACCAACAAGGTGCATCTCCTTTTAAGGGAGCTCATCAGCTGAGAACTCCAAAGTTAAGCGTGCTTACACGGGAGTAGTCTTGGGATGAGTGATCCCCTGTGAAGTTTCTCAGGGCATTCATGAGTGAGGACAAAGTGCGCGGAAAAGACTAGTGGCGATTTGTGAGGACAGTACTAGAGGTCTAGAGGGATGTCAGAAGTAACTTACTCGGGGCTTGTACGAGACCAGGGTGTTACACTTTTTTTATTACAACGTCTTAAGTGATCAATTGGAAATAGTAGAATGACTTATTTACCTTTTCCCCTTAAATAGATAAAAAAATGAGAAAAGTAGAGGTACATGTGTCATTTTATTCATCAAAAAAGTAAAAAACCATTTTGAAATAAATAATCTAGAAAAAAATATAAATCAAATTGAGATGAAGGATGTATCTTTGCTTTCAACATGGTGAATCAGTGAGCGCAATTTTGTTCACCCCCTTTGAATGAGAGTGAATCTCACCCATCTTCCCTTCCTTGTTGTCAATGTGACATCTCTTTTCTCTTTTTTATTTAAATTGTTATAGCTTTTTTATTCATTACCCAATTTTATAAACAAATATCAGATTTAATAATGTTTTAAGATCTTTCCAATGATATCAATCTTATACGAAGTATATATATAAAAATGAAAAAAGTTTTTTTTCTAAGTATTCATTTTTAGTTGTTTTTTTAAAAAAATTGATATGCAATATTGGATTTCATATGAAAGATAATAAAAATGAAAAAAATGGTATATATTTAAAAGATGGATTAATATTAAAAAATTAATACAATTTTCAAATACGTAGTAATAAAGAATTGTCTTGTCACATGACATACAATTAAGGTGGGGATGAACATTAAAGAGTGTTAAAAAACTTGGTTTCCAACGACAAATGTAGTAAAGATGAAAAAATCTATTTGTACTTACATTTCATACTCACCTTTATATACGAGGCATCAATATGAAAATTTTCACAGATCAAACAAGACATGTTTTATGTGTGAATGGATTTTACGCGCAAAAAATAGTTTTTTAGTGGGTGTAAAAAGGAATAGAAAAATGAGTGAGTAGCAAAACTAAGCAAAGAGTGTGAGAGTAGTAGGTAGGAATTTATTGATTCGCATATAAAACTCAACATGGAAAAAGTTATTAAAACTGAAAAAGGGTAAACAGAGACGGGCAGCTCTGTTGACGAGACGAGAGTCCACTCACTCGAATCAAACCCTCTTTGATGGTCGCCTTGTCTGATGGAAATGGTAAAATACAATTAACTGTTTCTCTATCCATCTTCGATTTTACGTACTGAGACGTACATGTATTGTCGTAGTTCCAGGACTCATCTTCTTCATAACATACGTACTCGCATTATATGTAGGCGAGTTTGTTATTTCCGGCATTTTAAGTTCGTTCTGTTCTTCTTTCTCCCGCCGTCTTAACTGTATGAATTTTGGGTATGCTGGAAATGGTTGTCGAGATGGGAGGTTTGGTCCTCCATTGTCGTCTTGAAAATTGAAAACCCTCTCCTTGACACGCGACAACTGTGGAAATTTAAGAGTTACGAATTAAAATCAATATAAAGTTGTTTATACTCGTAATTATTGATGGCAGTAGAGATTTACTTATTTTGACTGAAGGTGCTTTGCGTAAGCAAGTACCCTGTGAATTTATTAGGTCGAACATTAATTAAAGGTAGAGGATGTCACTTTTTTACCCAGGAGTTTTTGGAGGTAGACCATGTCACTTTTTCTTAGAATAATTTCTCATTCCTCTGTAATTTTTAGGTCGAAAGCAAGTTTTGTGTGGGTTTGATCAATGGAGTGCGCTGTCTAAGGTTTTGAACAAGTATTTCTATGTCTCGGGGCAGAGCTCCAGATTTACCTGATGAGTGGAATATGGGTTCTCGTTTTCGGTCTGGTAAATCTAGTTGGCAGTTTGGAACCAAGTTCCGAAATGAAAAAGTTCTCTCTCAGAAAAGGCCAAATGAAAGTATTGCTGGAAAAAGTGAACCTATTCCGAAGAAAAGAAGTTCTGGTTCAGATGCCTATATGAACTCTTCTTCTAGTACGCATTCCTGGGATGCCATACTGCAAAAGAGAAGTAATAATATTCATGAAGGAAAACATAAGCCCAAGGAAAAAGAGAAAGGAGATAATGATGAGTGCAAAGATATGGCTATGAACAGATGTTCTGCTTCAGATGACCCTTGGAATTCATGTCTGCAAAAGGAAACAGATGCAGGTATGAAGAAAGGTTCTCATTCAAGCTGGCCTGCTTGGAACTCATGTCTGCAAAAGGAAACAGATGCAGGCATGAAGAAAGGTTCTCATTCAAGCTGGCCTGCTTGGAACTCAAGTCTGCAAAAGGAAACAAATTTTGCTGATGAAGGAAACAACAACACTCATGAGAGAAAAAGTTCTGCTTCTGATGACTGCTGGAATGCTCATTCCAGTTGGCCATCATGGAATTCCTGGTTGCAAAACGATTCAAAAGCTGATGAAGGAAAAGATGTGCCTGACAAAACAAGTTCCCACCATTGGAACTCCTGGCTGCAAAAGAGAAGTGGTGCAGAACATTCTAAAGATGTGTTCCCAAAAAGGGATTCCAGATCTGGAGATCGTGTTGGATCACATTATCATAAGCCTCTTTGGAAATCAAGATTGACAAAGCGAAGTAATTTTGAAGAGGATCAAACATCGGTTCATGGAGGTCGCAATTCTAGTAACAGGGATGCTAGATGGGTTTCTCCAGGATCCAGATCATGGGCAAATTCTAATGCAAGAGAATCCAACGGTATTCCTTGGAAAAGTTCAAACTCTTCTGGTCATTTGCAAGCTTCTTCACGTAGGCATGCTTGGGGATCTGAGTTTCACATAAGAAATAATGCTGAAGGTTTAAAAAGCACTCTTGAAGAAAGCACGTCTAAAGTTATTAAGAGCCTAAAAAAGAAGGGCTTTATGACGGAGGGTTGCTCAAATAAAGAGAGACCTCACAAGAGGTTACAAAACTCAGCAGATATTGCAGGACAGCTTTCTAAATGGCCTAAGTGGGAGGATACATCACACAAAGGATCATATAAGGGCTATTGCACAGATAGCCCTAACAAATCCAGCATATGGGATGGGAGCAATGAAGATGCAGCAGATATGAAGCCAGAAAAGTTGATGCCAAACACAACTCAACATTCTGGATCTCCCCTCAGAGGTGCTTCTTGGAAGCTGAAAAAGAGAAGTGATGTTGAGAATTCTATCTCCGGGTCTGCAGAAATAGTTGACACCAAACCTTGTCATCTGGAATCCCTGCAAGAGAGAGGTAACAGTTATGACAAAGCTAAAGATGTACTATTGCAAGGAAACGATTCAATTACCACAGATGAATCTCGTTCTGATTTGCCTTGTCAAAGTTCTGATGTACAAAAAATAAACGATAGGGAGGAAGTCACAAATAGCTGTGGAAAAGAAGCAGACAATTCATTTGATCTGCCTTCTAGGAATTTGGAGGGGCAAGGATTAAAAGTTGTGGAAGATTCTAGAGATGTGCATAACAAAGGGGTAAATGTGGGCGTAGATAGTTTCCCTTCATTGATCTCCTTCAGGGAAGAAAGAAACAACCCGGAAAAAGGAAAAAACAGGCTCGAGGAAGTAGCCTTTGACAAAAATGATGGTGAGAGACTGTCTCTTGGTTCTTCAGAATCCAACACCCGGATAGATAGCAATGAAGGATCAAAAGATGGGCTTCTAGAAGTATATACTTCTTCTTGGCCCACATGGAAGTGCAATGAACAAAGGCAAAGCAATCTGACAAATGGAAGTGACGCTTCTGCTGAGAGGGCCATCAACATAGTTGATGCTGCTGAGTTGCCTTCTAGTAGAACTTCTGAAGTGGAAATGGTGCACAGAGGGAAGGAACAAGTAAAGGATGGACTTGGCAAAAATCTTCTACACAGAACTGAGAGCACTGAATTAGATTCAACTAATCAAGTTCCAGATAATGATGGTCTTACTTGTACTAAAGATTTTAATGCTAGTAGGCTACAGAACCTGGTTGGTGATTCTGCTGATGGCACTAAATTACCTTATAATGAACCAGTTTTGGAGTTGGGGGTTGAAAGTACGTTGTTGCTTGGTGATACTGATAGCACTACACTTCCGCCTAATAAACCATATTTAGAATCGGAGGTTTATGAAAATAATAAGGAACACGCTAGAGATAATGTTGTTGGAACGGCTGAAGTTCCAATAGATCAGTCATCTATAAAAGTTCCAGAAATGGAAGTTGTTTGTTGTTCCAAAGATTTTGGTGGTAGTAGGCTAGAAAACCTGGTAGGTGATTCTGCTTTCTCTCTTTCACCATGCACTAAATATCCAAATCCCCCTACTTCCAGCTATTCCATGTCTGTCTTGCCTAAACTTTCAGTGTGTGGTGAGACGTATGACAATCATCTCAACGTGTTACATAGTATTTCTGTGTGCGATCAAAGTTGCCCTGCAAAAAAATGCATATGGAAGGGAAGCTTTGAGGTGATTGATATTGCTTCAGTTGTCAAAATCTTTGAAGGATTCACTGCTCATCCGTCTTCTAAAGTTTGTCGTAAAGCTTACGAGTTCTCAAAAAAGATGTCATCCACTTTGGAATTTCTAGTGCACCCTCGAAGTAAATACTGGCCAATGATATTTGAGGATTGTCCTGATACAAATGATATTGCTTTGTACTTTTATCCAAAGAATGACCAGGCCTTGTGCAGTTACGCTTCACTGCTAAAGTTCATTGACAGCAAGGATTTGATGCTCAGGAGTAAGATGGGTCATGTTGAGCTTCTGGTTTTTCCCTCGAGATGGTTAAATGTGAAATGCCAAACCATAAAGAACAGTTACTTTTTTTGGGGAGTTTTTCACATCAAAACAAGGAAGTAAATGATGAATGTTCGAGCCTATTCTTCATGTGTAGTGATAATGCAAGCCTTATTGTGAACAAGATTTGTTGACATCGTAAGCAAATAGTGAACTAGTCCATTTTTCTTTGTTTGCCAAATAAGTCTTGGATTTATAATTTGATTATTTTGAAAGCCACTAAGAGCCGGTTTGGTAACACTGAAATTAGCCGAATCGACTAATTCTGCTGAAATTTATGAAATTCTAGCAGAAGTGTCTGGATTGGTTGATTCTGTTAATATATAAAAAATTATTATATTTGAAACATTTTTTATTAATAAAGTAAAGAAAAATGTACATGAAAAAATAGCTAGAATGGTCTTCTATGGTAACTTCAGCCGTAGAAGAATAACTTCAACTTTACTTATTTTGATTATTATACTACGTATAATTTAGCGCGCAAAATAAAAAGTTACGTTTTTTTGTGAAAAAATTGACCGATAAGCTTGATAAGCCCAAAAACATGGTCTCCAAATGGGTTTTAAATCTGTTAAATTCGCAATATTAGGCATTAGCAGTTTGTCATACACATACTGATGTAGCAGGAAAATTTACAGGTTTTCCTGCTTTCCCTCTTTTCTGATGTTAGCATATAAATACTGAGATGCCAGAGTACTTCAGTGTTGATTGTTGACTGTTGCATTGCAGATTTACGGAGCAACTCAAATTATAAAAACCTTTTGCATTTGAATGTAGCTGATATAAATGAATTGGCTTGATAACTTAAGGTGTATTGTATTTACTTTACAAATTAAACTAAATAATGTATGCTCTATTTTTTCATAATAACCTCTGATTCAGCTATCAAAATCAAATGCCGGGAAGTCGAGAACCCTGTTCTTAGGCCCATATTTGTAATTACACCCTGATTCAGCTTTGTGTGTTCCATTTAGCCTACTTGTGTCTTCTCTTCATGAACAACCATGTCATGGCAACTTCATGAAAGTTAGTAAAGTCCACTCCAAAGTTGCATAACATAAAACAACCCAAACTTACATTTGAAGGCATCTTATTGACACATCATTGAGTTCAGGTATTGCACAAATAAAAACAATTTCACGCTAGGAGAGAAGATGAGACACTTTAAGATTCCCTTGATCTTAGATAGAAACTCTCATAGTGGAGAGAATGGATGTGAGTGATGTCTTCACCTATGTGTAAGTCACGAATCCCTTAAGCTTATAATGCACTGCACCAAAACAAACAGCCCCTTGAGCTATCAGTCATCACGATGATCAAGAGGCTAACTGCATACATTGATTGAAATACAAAGTGGTCTAAATAGGGGTGGGCATAGTTGGTTAACCGGGTTTTGGTTAACCAACTTTCCGGTTAACCGCGAAACTTGTTACTTCGGTTAACCGATACTTCGGTTAACCAAAGCTTCGGTTAACTGAGTATCGGTTAACCAAAACTTCGGTTAACCACAAACCGGTTAACCGAAACCCATAAAACTGGTACCATAACTGAAAAAATAATTTTTTAAACATCTATGATCATAATACAAAATTCATAAGTAGATCAAATTTTGAAGAAGATAATAGAAATACAAGAATACACCGGTGTTAACAAATACATGACTGCGTAGACTAGAACTGATATACGAAACAAATTTCCAATATACAACTCTAGGTTTAAATCAAGTCTCACACTTTATCTCCAAAGCCAAAAAAGGAGCTCAAGTCTATGCAGTAAAATAAAACGATCATGAAAACTTGATAGTGGCTTTTTGTACATAATCTCTTTGAACCGTTGAAGTAAAATTAGTGATTTCTCTTTAATATTGATTTGCAAGAAAGTATCTTGAACAGTGAATTTGTGTTGCCTCCATTTAAAACTTGATGGGATATAGGTGGAGAAAACAAATTGTCATCGGCGTTCAAAATCTTTGGGCAGTTCCACAGATATAGAACTAGGAAGAAATAAACATTAAAGATCTTAGCGATTAATGGATGAATTGACTTCGGTAAACTGATTCTAATCAATTTTAAAACGGTTAACCCACCGTGAAACATTTTTTTTATTTAATCGGTTAACCTACCGTGATTTCGTTTTAAAAGCGGTACGGTTAACCAGAAAATTAATGGTTGTACGGTTTTTTTAAAATGTTACGCGGTTATGGTTTTTTGTGCCCACCCCTAGGTCTAATCGCTTTGGTCATTGAAATATCACTTTGGTCAATTCTCTAAGGTCTAATCTCATTTGGAAAGGAAACAAAGTGGTGTGGGCACTAACAAGTGATTTTTTTAGCGCAATGAATAGTGTAATGATTTACTTTTCCGATTGAAATGGTTGAAGTTACGGTTAAGAGTCTTTTTTGCTATTTCTTCATATTATATTTCATTATTTTATTAATAAAATACACCTCCATCTCCAAAAAAAATCATTTCATAAAATTTGAATCAAGATTTTGATTAGTATAATATTATGGAAGTTATAAATTTTATACTTTTATGAAAAGATTTTTAACGAGAAACATTTTCATATAATTTTTATAATATAAATAAAAATATATAGGTTGGTCAAAGTTTTAAAAGTGGTAAAGTTTTTTGAAACGAGATGCAGTAAATTTTAAATATAACTTTTGCATAATTCAGTAAATTCAACTAATTCATCCACTTCAGCCAAATTTCAACAATTTCAATTGATTCAACAAATTTCAATGTTAAATAAGCAAGCTCTTAAATATGGAATTTTTGGATTTCTCCGAAGTCTTTCATATGCTTAAAATAATAACCAAGGTAGACAACACCCCGGGGCTTTAGAACTTTTTCCAAGTTTGCATCGAACAATGACTAAAATAATGAAATCTCCCAGTTTTTTAGCCTACTTCGGAGCTATTTTTAAAGGAAATTTCCCTGCTTAGACTTTACAAGAAACTTCATAGCATGACAATGGTATGTATCTTTAACCCAATTGAAGGAATGCTTTTGAACTCAAAAAGCTCCTACATCCCAATGACGGGTTCCAATATTACCGCGAGCCACAAAGAGTCTAAGATCATTATTAATTATCATTATAATTATAAATATTATAACTATTATACAACTCATTGTTCAAGCATATACAATTGGCAATAAACCTGGATAATTAGGCTCTAACTATAGCTGAATGCTTCCCAAAAGAGTATCAGCTTCCAGGTTTTGCTGTTAGACATCCCCGAACTCCTCAATCCATAACCAACATAAGGCGATAATGTTTTACATCCTGTTGCTTTGCATTTACTGGGCGTTTTATTTGGCTACCTACCTTGAATCTCGCACAGTCTAGCAAAGCAATGTCTGTTTCAACATTTTCTAGCAGGAGCCCATATATCTGCACCATTGCTACCGGCAACCCCATTGGTGTATGACAGAGGCACAAGGCATAAACCCTTACCTCTCAAACTGTAGGAGTGGGGTTCCTTTGAGAACAAACATGCAAAAATATCACATATTCAGTAGGTTAGTACTTAGTAGTATGAAACAGGACACTTCGACTAAGTAGTATGGAAACTTCCCACGATTCGCCTTTCAGAATCTTAGAAGCGTATTGGAAGTTCAGAAGCTTCAAATTCCCATTTCCACAATAGAAAAACTTTGGGGTATCAGTTTTTTATTTTAATGGTAACTTTAATGGAAGTTAGTGTCTATTTATGGGTTTTGTGGGTTTTCATATGATTTCAACACATTGATTTTGTGATATTTCATAAAGCAATGCGTTGCGAGAAATTTATTGCATTTTACATTTAATTATGTACTAATACATAATAATTTCTAAATTTTTATCATGTGGCCTTTATTTACCATTAATTATTTAGCAAAGTTATATGAAATAATAAGTATACATATATATGTCATGTACGGAGTAAATGTAAACAATATGTAATACGCAGTACATATTTTTGAAACATATTTACATATGCATTCTTATTTTTTCCGTGTTTCCATTACATTTTGCATCTTATATTTTTCAAATACCGTGTTACAATGTCTTGTGTTTCACGCTTCTCTTTCTTGTTTCCGTGCTACTTAGGCCCTAGACTGAACTATTAGCCCTATACTGTAACAGATCATGCGCGCGAAATCACAAATAATAGTGTTAATAACCTTTTTGTATCAGTCAAGCATATGGCTAATATATATTCTTCTAATACTAACCTGTGTAGTTGTTTGTGGCGTAGAATGGAGATATGGAGCACTTAGCACCTAAAACCGTCAGGGAAAAAAAAGAACAAAATCATGCTTAATGGCATTGCAAGATTAGGTGAACTGCAAACACTAGTAGATAATTTGGATGGGGATAAGGCGATCATATATCTTACAAAGTAATGAGGTAAAGAGAGGGAAGCTGAAAGGTGAGGGATTAGGAGAGAGGATTAAGGGTGAATTTGGCTTAAATAGAGGGTTAAGAGTAAAGCGAGATAAAGAACAGCCACAAACCTTAACCTGCTCATGGAGGAAGTTTATGTACCCCATTGCTTCAAGTAGAACAGAGGCTGTGTCTGTCTGTCGATGTAAAAAAACAGTAAATGACTCTCAACTTATAGGGTAATCTTGTTTCACAAGTCTGTTCCTCTCAAGGATAATAATTTACATCAGTAAGTAGGTAATAAACCAATTAAAGGAAGGGGCACCTTTCCAAATGGTGATACAATCTGCTGCAGAGCTGTGATGCGCTCCCCAAATTTCTCTTTCTTTTCCTATTCAAGAAAAATATAAACTTCTTATACTGAATATTTTTAAATACATCGGAAAGGATAAATTTCTTATAAATTTATTTTCTTACAAATACTGAAAATTCTTATACTAAATTTCTTCTCCTATTCTTATAAATTTCTTATACTGATTATGCATAAAGAAGAGGTGTGATAATAGTAGGAAATTTGAGCCAGCTATTAAAGTACTGCATAGTTAACATCTGTACAGTGAGAATACTTTCTTAACATCCAATCTCTTAACTAAATATATAAAAATGCAAGTACATAAACAAATAGGTGCACATAGACACACAAACGTCTTTGGAGACATGTAAGCGAGATATTAAGTTACATTTTAATGGGTAATAAGAGTCATGAGATCACCAACACAATGTATAAGTGCTACATAATGCATCTTAGCACTGTATCTCTTTCATGCCTACCTTGAACATCTACCTAAACTTACTTGTATGTGTGCGCGTGAGAGAGGTTAGAGTTCAAAGGCAGAACATTCCCATAAAACTATGTAGCTCTAAATTTCAAGCATTCTCAAAAAAATATGTAGTTCTAAATTTCATGCATGGTCCAGTCATCCAGCCTGTTATAATAATTACAATCATTGAGTGTTGATATCAGTTTCTGTTTCGGTTGGGTTAAGAATAGGACTATGGGTCAAAGTGAAAAGGTTATGTGTGGTATAAATCCAAAACTGAAACCAATTCATAATTTTCAGTTCGGGATTGGTTGTACAATTTGAGCCAGTTTCAACATTCAACTATCTGTTCCAAAACAATCAAGCCAAAGACAGACACTTTGTAAAGCTTATAGGTAGATAATCTTGCTTTGCCCTCCACTATGCATGCATACTACAAACAAATAAATAAATAAAAACAGATAAATACATATCAAATGAATATAAGTGCATAACACTTTTTTAAAGTAGTTGTACACAGATCACTAGCATTGCAGGGGAAAAGGAAGGACAATCTACCTTGGAAGAAAGGGACATATCTGCCTTGAGACGTTTAGGAGTCAAAGATGTCATGCTACTGTGCTCAAGAGAGATGGGACCTCTTTTGTGTTCCATCATTTTTGTTTTGTCCCTGACTCAACCAACCAAATAATGCAAACGTAAAAATAAGACATTGTACATAAAGATTAAAGAAAATTGTTGATTCGTGTATAACTAACTACTTAAGAGCTAAGATTACATTTTTTTCAAAGAAAAAATCTGAAGATTGCTACGGATTGTATGTAACCTGGTCCTCTCTATTCACAAAGGATGTAAAAAGTCAAAGTTGGATCATAGATTGAAAGGAAAAACACAGATGTAATTAGATTAAGGTCATAAAAATGACTTAATTAAAGACAGAAATACTATCAAGAATCAAATGACATGTAGAGTTAGATCTCAAAGCACAGTCAATTTTTTCATTTAATGACATTCATTCATGCCAATTTTTTCTGACAAAAGTACATTTCCAAAGAAACTATATTTCCAAAGCACACAGTCAATTTTTTACATTTAATGAGTATTCATACATGTCAGACTTGTTTGATTAAAGTTAAGCCATTAAAAAAATCGGGACTTCGATTTTACCTTGTCAACTTGTTACATGTTGCAATAAATGCAGACATTTCATAAAATCAACCATACACATTATCATTCCTAAAATTTATGATATTCAATAATTGAAAGAGAAATAAAAAGTCTTGTGGTCAAACAGTCAAACAAACCTCTAAAAAGACTACAAGAAATTGTAATAATATAACGATGCAGTCATGCTAGAAAATATTACAAGAACACTAAAGATTAATTTGAACTTTGAAGCGCCATCATTTTTTAAAATAGTGATAATAGTAATAATAATAACAATAACAAAATAATAATAATAATAATAATAATAATAATGCATGTGGTGCACATTGAAACAGAACATTATGAATTGATCATCTCCTATGCCTACCTTTCACAAAATCTATACCATAGATGGACTGTAGCCTGATTCAATAAAAGTGAGGGAACGAACATACCAAACATTATTTCTATACCCATATAGATCCATGAACACTTGACCTCTTACTATCTATCTCTGTGTTTCATCATAATGACACTCTAATCCAAACTTGCCCAAGGTTGAGTGAAATTTATAGTACCAATTAATAGTTCTAATTTAGTTTAAGTTTAGGCAACAACATTCATCACACAAAAGGTCCAGTGACAAACTTTTTACATCAGGATGTCTTTCATTTGCAAATTCCTACGAAATAATACTAACATTACTGGAACGTGTTTAGATTGAGGAGAAGGAAGTAAGGAAAAGAAAAGAAGGGAGGGAATGATTAAACACCATTTGATTTGGACAGGAATATAAAGAAGGTGGAAAGAGATTTTTATTTTGAGGGGAGGTATTTCTCCTCTGCCCTTCCATTTGACCACAATTTGGAGGGACTACACTTAAGAGAAATCATGGGATGGACAAAATCCGCCATTAAACTCTATCCATTTACTCTAGCCAAATAAAGAAAAGACCCCTCCCTGTATGACTGCATTCCTCTAATTCCAAACAAAAATAAAAGTTACATGGGAGATCATTACTCAGTTGGACAAATTACACAGAAATAAATTACCAAGATCAAGAAAGAAGGGTGGGGGGGCTAATTATGATTCACTGAAGTAGCTCAATCTGTTGGAGTTAAATCCATCACTATGCAAACAAGTGTATGGGACTAATCAAAGTGAAAGACAGCTAACTGGAAATACAGGGTAAGAAGGAAGACTGAAAGACTCTATCCAACTTAGCACATACCTAGAAAAATAATTGAGCTTCTGCACAAATATTTTCTCCGTACAACACAATCAAGCAAGGAAAAACTCTAATTCATGGAAATGGAAATATTTGCATCCATATCCAATAATCTAAGGTGACCATAAATTATCATCAAACTACAATCAAAATCTACACTCAATCAAGGAAGAAGAAAGGGATTAACAAACCAAAGAAAATGAAAAAGAGCTCAATCAGATCAATAGGCACAACTAGTTCTGTACACTCAGGGCAATGCAAGCAAGCAACTCCATCGAAACAGAGAATCAAAGTAATCCCCATAAATGAATGAACTAGATAAGAAAAAAGGATATAGAAAACGAATTTACGCTAGAGCGTGTGTATGAGAGTGTGCTCGTGTGCATACAGGAAAAGGGAAAATAACCCCTAAAGAAAACATACTATATAAGGAACTTAGCATTAATTAGAGAGAAGGGTATCAATTTACCTTCGCTTCAAATCATGCAAGATTAGAAAATGCAAAGATCACTCCGAAATTTCAACGGGTCGGATGAATTGCAGCGTTTCTCTCTGTCCCTCTCCCTCTCTCTGCAGAAAATCGTCTTACTAGAACGTGTAGGGCACAAAACGCCTTAGCTAGGGGATTTGTGGGGGCGCACTGAACGCAACAGTCCAAAAGGAAGTTCCAATCTTAGTAGCTTTTCCTCTCTGTCTCCATGTATGTGTTCACACCAATTTTTTCTACCTTAACAGGTGATCGTATACAAGGACTTTGACCCCCCCAAAACCCAGACTTTATTTTTTTCTTGTACAGCGTTTCTCCGTAAAAGGCCGGTAAAGTGCTCCGGTACTTTGCCGGTTATGAAAAGACCGGGCAAGATTTCTAGTCCTCTCCTGCAGAAACTGGAAAGACTGATGGAAGAGAAAAGAGAGCGCAGAGTGAGACAATAGTAGCTGAATGACTTTTTAAAGTGGGAAGATGATCACAAACGATTTTAATAATAGAGAAAAATATTGAGTTCATTATACGGAAGACTACTCCCTATCAATGAAGGGTCAAAGAAACACTCCCTCCATCCCATATGTAAGAATGTGTAACGAGGGAAAGACGCGCACGGGTAATTCCTTTGGTCAGGGGTGGGAAATTTGGACCAAGTGATCAAGGTTCGAAACTCGCAACGGCCGTGTGGAGGTCACAGAACCTGAAATAAGGCTGGGCTTCAAGTGCGCACGGGAAAAATGCCTACCATAATTGGGCTGACTGAGTCACCGTGATTAACATCCTCCCAAAAATCCTGTCGGGTCGGGGTATGGGGGGCTCCTGGGGTGGGAGATTCCACCTTTTGGACCAAGTGTAATGAGGGAAAGTGAGTGTAGTCCAATGGATGACCATCCACCCCCAACTCTCTTCTTTGTGGGAGGTCTTGGGTTCAATTCCCACCAAGGGGAGATAAGGGAGGTTTTGCTCTCAATGATTCTTCTTACCTTCACGGAGTTGCTCAGCGGCTGAGAAGGGAGAAGATGATAATGAAGGTAGCGGATTCGTATGGTGGGAGGAGCAGCCTGAAAGGTGATGTAAGTCCTACTGGATTCGTCATTCCCACCAAGGGGAGATGAGAGAGGTCTTGCTCCCAATGATTCTTCCTACCATCACGGAGTTGCTCAGCGGCTGAGAAAGGAGAGGATGGTAATGAAGGTAGCGGGTTCGTGTGGTGGGAGGAGCAGCCTGAAAGGTGATGTAAGTCCTGCTGGATTTGTCCTTTGGAGCCAGTACTGACGAGGCTGACTGTGATCAGATCCGGATTTAACTATCTAGGGGCTTTGGAGGGTAGTTCATAGACTCCAGGATTATGGGAGCGTAAGCCCCGACACCTGAATTATCAAAAAAAAAATAAGAATGTGTAATGAATAGTGCAGAGCGAGAGGAACGTGTAAGAATGTGTAAGAATTGTTGTGAACCACAAATTTTTTACCAAAAGGGAAAGGGAAGTTCTTTTTTGGACAGATGAAAAAGGAAAATTGGAAGTAAATTATGGGACGGAGGGGGTATAATTCAGGAACAAAGAGAGTAATATGTTCTGTATAATACTAAAATTGATTGAATCAACAAATTCTGTTGAAATTGATGAAATTCTGACTGAAGAGATTCAATCTTCTGAACTATGAAAAAAATATGAAAAGTAGTTATAATGTTCATCTATAGTAAGTTCAATCTATTCATACAGAAAAATAACAACAACATTATTTATTTTGATTATTACACAATATAAAGCACGAAATTGCAAATTACTTATTTGGTAAAAAAATTGACTGATAGAATGATAAACTTGAAAAAAGGTCACCAAATGAGCTTTAAATCTGCTACTAATTAAAATGGATACTAGTATATTTTAAAGACATTTTATTAAGAGTGATGGAGTATATGGGTCTGGACCCCAGGACCCACGTACTCAGAAGAATAAGAGACACAGTTGTTACCTAGTGGGACCTCCGTCGGCCAGATGACCCTCCATCGACCAGAAAGATATCGACTCAGATTATGATCCGGAAAACAGGAGAACCGGATGTCACCATCGGCCATGGCTTCGTCGGCCATGGCTCCGTCGACGAGACCCTCATCGTTAGGGATGTCAAAAAAAAAACCAACCCGCACTGACCTGCCCTGGCCCGAGACATTTGGGGCGGATCCGGCCCGGCCCGTCTTCCAAATGGGGCGGGTCCGCCCCGCCCCGCCTATACAATGGAGCGGGTCCGAGTATTAGTATTGAGCTGTGCCGCCCTGACCCGCCCCGACCCGACCCGCTCAATGCATAAACATACATATTTTTTCTTAAACTATACTACTGATGGATAGTCTACCCGGGGGTATATATCCGAGGGGTTATTGCTGGGAATAACTTAGAGAGAAGTCAGAGCAAGTAAATGTAGAGAGAGAGAGTGTGTATTATAAATGTGGAGCGTTTTCAGCGTGGTTACAAATGGGGAAATGGGGTGCTATTTATAGTAGCAATAAATGCCGGACAGGGACACGTGTCAAGCGCTCATTGGCCGAGGGGTCACCTCAACTGGTTGGCGCTGGCAGCCGCATGTGGCCGCATTTAATGCGGCTGTTGGATGGGACGTCTGTGCAGGGTACGGTGATCTGTACGCATGTGAGGCGGATATCTTGTCGAGTGAGATGCCTTCGACTATAGTAGCCGAGGGCTCCTCCAACCGATGGCACCCTGGTGCCGAGGGCTCACAGTACCGAGAGCTACTGTTTTCGCCGTTTTCTCCCAGCTTCTTAATTTGCTTGAGAAACCCGTTCTGTGAGAGTTTAGAGCCTTCGGCCAGGGGGCCGAAGGCACCCCTGGCGCGTAGTGCGGGCTGCTTGGTACTCTAGGCGCTGTGATTTGGGCCTGTTGGGCCTTCTGGGCCTGTTGGGCCTTCGCTGGAGTAGTAGGAGTCTGTGGGCCGGGGGTTCCCGGGCCATATACTCCATCAACTACAAATATACTTCAACATACATATGTGTGTATACAGTAAATCATAAATTCTTTGATCTTATAATATATTAATACATATATTAGAATGAGATGAACGACGGATTATCAATATCTTTTGTATATATAGTATTTTAATACATAATTATTAGTATAATTTAATAGATTAACTATTCAAGTCTGAGAATTTTTTCCTTAATTTTTGAAATTTTTAGGGTATCATGAATTTGATTTAATATATTAATTTTTAATTATTATTTAGAGATAAACTTTATGCAGATTCAATTGGTAACAACTTGTCACAAATAAAAATACATACTAGCTAATTAGGTTACGGTGGGGCGGGGCGGGTCATGGGTCAAAAAGCTTGGACCCGTGCAGGTCACGGGGCACGGCGGGGCGGACCCGCCCCGCCAATTCACGGGGCTGGTCTGGGTCTTGCAGTACCCGCTCCGCCCCGACCCATTGCCATGCCTATCATCGGCTGGAAATAGCTCACACAACCGGATTCCATACTTAGTCATTTCTACATTCTTTGTACTCGGCCCAGTAGTGGCATAATTGTAAATGGGCCTCCCAAACCCAAGACTTGGGAGCCCAGCCCTAATTTCTTCTATAAATACTCCCTTTGGGAGTAGTTGTGGAAGGTTCACAAATCATTAATAGCAAGTATTTATTGCACTTCTATGTCTAGTTCTCCCTTCTCTCTAGATAATTACTCTATCAAAGAGATTTTTCCTAATGTATTACTAATAAAAAGTTTATGGACAAAAATGTGACTATAAGTACACTGGGTAGATTTTATATTGACTATGATGTGATATTTGAATACAACTAAAAACACTAAAAAGTTACTAAAGTCATATTTTTGTCACCTATTTTTATTTTGATTATATACTTAAAATTAATTCTTTTATTAAACTGGAATAAATTAAATTTCAATTAAAACTAGATGTTTTGGTAAACGCAATAATATACTAAATCAGCTAAAATAATTTAAGTTATGGTTGAAACTATTGGATTCCACAATCGGTTAAATTACAATAAGACATTGTTTTAAAAAAATTTGTACAAATAAAATCAAGAAAAATTATACTCGGTATGAAAAATAAAAGGAGCTATTCTTTTTAAGCAATTCAACTAAAAGTAACTTTAACCTTACTAATTTTGATTATAATACTTCCTCCGTTTCTTAAAACTTTGCCAACTATACTTTTTTTGTTGTCTCATTAACTTTGCAAGTTTCTCTTTTAAGTAAATAATTTGTGGTTTCGGATAATTCTCTCTCCTTTGCACAATCCTCAAATGAGCTCTTAATATTTTTTTCCTTAATATAATTTTTATGGATGATACATGAAAAGTAATTAAGATAGGTGAATCGGTGTTCTAAAAGGCTGCAAAAAGCAAGGAAACGCCCATCATGGTAGGAAGAGCTGAAAAAGGCGGTCAATTGAAAAGTTGATAACCAATAAAGATTAAAAAATGTATATATTGAACAAATTAAAATTAGGATCAATCTTGTTTAATATTTTGGAAAAATTCACACCAATAATCCCACCTATTATCGTTCTTCCATTATTAATCCCTACATTGAGTTATTCCAAATGAATTCCAATTAGTGGGGTAAGCTTCCACAAACACTCTCACAACACAGGCAACCGGCTTACCCGGTAAAATTTTTAAAAAAGTCGACCTAACAACATCAACCCTCTGTGAAGTGCGTTGAATTCTAACCCAGTTCTATCACCATTGGCGACAAACAACAGGGTCACGAGACAACCAATTCGCACCCTTGAAGGAATTGAAACAAGTTCACGACAAGCGTAATGGCAGACGAAAGCTCAAAGAAGAACGGTAAAGTAATTTTTCTTTGTTTTTTGGCATAGTTGTTGGTCTGGTTTTTCTGGTCATTAGGTTGTTCGAAAAGTTACGGTTGTCGTTGTTGTATGATTTCAGTTTTGAGTATGTTGACAATATGTGATTCTTAATGTTTGTTATTGTTCAGATTTGTATGTATATGCTCATAAAAAGTCCACTTGTGATTTGTTTAACAATTATGTTCGCTTATTAGGGTTTGGGCGAAACTCAAGCCAGTCTGCGCATATGGCATGTGGGAATATTTAAGAAGAATGGTATTGGAAGACTAGAATATGTGGAAGGTCAGTTTAGGATGTTTGATATAGATGCATACGAACTATGTTGGTTTTGGTTAGAAGAATTGGCTAAGAAATGTGGGGACTATTGTACAATAGATGCCATTTACTACATGGTACCTAATGTAACCTATGAAGAGGGATTACGAAGGGCATATCATGATGATCAAGTCAGATATACGATAGCATTAGTGTTGAAGACCAAATGCATTAACTGCTATGTTATTCATGGAATTGATGTTCCTGATTTAATTAAAGCCATTGAATATGTGGGGGCCCAGTGTTGGTGGAGAGATAATATCATCCAACAACAAAAAGAAGCTTAGTCCAAAGGGAGGAAGTAAGGGAAAGGGTGTTGCAGATGAAATTTCTTCATCTTCTCTTCAAGAAAGTGCTAGGAAGAAAAAGAATGAAAGTTCTTTCACACAGCTCTTGACAACT